CAGGTTGCAAGCAACTCAATGAGATGATTTGCAGCAGCTTCTTATTAAACATGTAGGTTGCAAGCAGCTCATGCAGACAGTTTACAAGCAGCTCAAGAAAAACCTCGCAGATGCTTCCTTTCTTCTATAAATAGAGAAGTTTTCAGTTCATTATGTACATCAGTTTGAAGTTGAATAATATATCAATCTCTCTCTATACTTGTCTTAAGTCTATTTACTTTATAGTCTTTATTTTATAACACGTTATCAGCACGAGACTCTGACATCTCGAGCAAATACTCCAAGGTACGAAGTTTCTTTTTCTAAATATATGTTTATCATGCATGTTTATCACGTCTTTCTAGCCAACTAATGATGCAAATGTCATTTTACTTGGATGCGGTCTCGCAAAATTGGAAAGAAAAATTAATTTTACTTAAGCTATTATATGGTCGCGAGACTACACCAGTAGTTTATGTGGCAAACGGTCGGGGACTATATATACTTATACAATTACTATTTTTGTACTTATTTTCCTCCTTGATCGTTTAGTGAAGTATTGAAAGGTGAATAACAATGTTAGATCCATCTAAACTCCAGCAGAGTTTATGAGAAATATATAATTACCAACAGTGGTAATATTTCCTAAGTCTCGTTATGACTTAACTTCATGGTTCACTTGAACTCCAGTAGAGTACGGCCACCAGAAACGGCTATGTTTCATATATCTCATTGTAACTAAATTTTGTTAACCACCAGAAGTGTTATATGCCTATGACCATTAGAAGTGATAATTTAGGCTTGCTATGGTTACAATGAAGATAAGTTAGAGAAAATTTTCTATATTATATGCATACCTCGATTTGCTTCTAAAGTAGCAAATATCTTAAAAGAGGTTCGAAGCATCACAATTTGATGTGATTATGCACGTTCAGATAATTATGTTCGATCTCCTAAAAGAATAGAACTTTTGATAATATTAATCAATTCCCTGAAGTGAATGTGACAATATTAAATGTGAACGCGTTCTTGATGTAAATATATTATGATTCACCTCCAAAAGAGGTAATACTATTGAGAGAATATATTCTCAATATTTCATATTTTAAATTTCTCCTGAAGTAGTAAATAATTAAAATTTCCTTCTAAAGCAGGAAAATATTATGTAGTGGTAAAAATATTAAAATTCTTAATTTTCGTCATTTATAAATTTAGAATTGTATTTATATTATTCATTTGATTATGATTTTCTCTCATGACACCAGAAGGGTCTAAGCAATATTTGGTAGTACAAAATTTATCAAAAGCTCATGAAGAGCTAACCGTTTGTCTAGAAGACACACGACACTAGTAATGTCCGATAAATATTAGATTGTGGATAATAAATGAAGGCTCTCGAAGAGCTTATATACAAATATGTCATTCATATTATATGATTATGATCAAAACATATATTGTAGTAAACTTGAAGTTTACTAATACAAATGACCATCATAATGAAACTACAAATGACTAGAAGATTGAAAATCTTCATGTTTCCATAATCATAGGGGGTAAAATAATATGTATGTGAGAAGTTACCCACCTTATTCTTCAATTTGTACTACATCATGTATCAAAGTAAACCAGAAGTTTACTAATGCAAAAGCAGTTACAGTAAATCAGAAATTTTACTGCGGCAAAAATAGCTACAGTAAAATAGAAATTTGCTGGTACAAAAGTAGCCACAGTAAATCAGAAGTTTACTAATGCAAAAGTTTATGTCATAGTAAAACAGAAGTTTACTAAAAGATAGCACGTGCCATGATAAACTATATGTTTTCATTTGCCATCTGGTTTAAATATGATGAGCTAATTGAGAATTATGATAAACATAAATTGAAGAACTAGAAGATTCTTCAAAAATTCTCTTGTGTTGCTTGTTCTCGTAATAAATTGATTATACCAGCTAAAGTTGGGACTAAGACCCCTAAATTTTGGAATATATAAAAGGTGAATGTGGGCATATTCACCTATTATATGAACCACTTATAGATGCATATATGAGATGGTTACATGTGTGTTTATTGTCAACCTACACTTTGGCATTTGAAATTGCTTTTCTCAATTAAAAGCATAATTTCCAGAATATCTAATCAAGATAATTCATCTTGATAATGCTGGTATATTCAAGTTGGTTTAGCATTGAATGTCTTCTGTTAATGGCTAAATCATTTCTTATGAGAACAAAGCTTCCCGTATTGGTCTAAGATTTTCTAAATTGCATACAGCAGCACTTGTATGCATCAGACCAACAATATATAATAAGTCCTTCCCTCACAATTGGTTTAGGATCCGAAACCAAATATTTTACTATCTAATAACTTTTGATATGTAGTATATGATTAATTTCTCTACCACATTGCACAAAGATAGGTTTCCCAAAGAAGATGGGGATATATGTTAGTTTTTCTAACATTTGGGGGATGGAATAAACAACTAAAAAATATGCTATATGAATCAAATTATCATTAATATGATCCTCACTTAGAAGATAATTCAAGTCAAATACCAGAAGCATTTGTTGATCCAAAATAAAATATCATATTTCAGCTGCAAATGCTCCTATTAAAATTAAAGTCTCTGAAAGATAGAGTTTACTGTACGCATGAAGCGTGGTAGACCAATCGATTCCAAATATAACAATTCTTGAAAAGGATAGGAGCAAATGATCAAAATGATCATAATAAGGAGGAAATAAGCTCTAGAAGAGCCCACGACGTGATATTTCATAAAACTCCAGAAGAAGTTCAGGTACCTGAAAATAAAGAAAGTGATGAGATCTCAACAAGTTATGTCGCTTGCGAACCGATACAAAATGATCGTCGACGATATATTTGATATAATATGGTGCACAATATTGTAAAAGATTGTGAGGATCGGACCTGTAGTCCAGACACCTGAAGATATCATGTCATTTAAGTGCAAGTCATGACCTATATGACTCATTTGATTAAATCTATATGAAGATCCTGAAGGATTTAAAATGTTTGAAGCATATAATTCAAAGTCTCGATAAATGCACTCGATCAAATTACAAAGATCTCTGTACGGTTTAAAATCAATCTAGGCGCATGTAATATAATCGCCTCAGTGAATATTTGCTGGAAGAAGGTTACATAAATGATGTTATTTGTCCATGTATTTTTATAAAGAAAATGACATCAGAATTTGTTATACTTGCTGTTTATGTTGATGACATAAATCTTATTGGAACTCCAGAAGAGCTCCAAAAGGCAATTGAATATCTTAAGAAAGAATTTGAGATGAAAGATCTTGGAAAAATAATTTTTTGTCTTGGTCAACAAATTAAATATTTAACAGACGAGATCTTTATCCATCAATCTGCCTATACATAAAGGGTATTTAAATGCTTTTACATGGACAAAGCACACCCATTAAGTACACCAATGGGTGTTCGATCACTTGAAGTGAATACAGATCCGTTCCGACCTCCAAAAGAGGATGATGAACTCTTTGGTCCTGAAACACCCTATCTTAGTGCAATTGGTGCACTTATGTATCTTGCTAATGCTACAAGGCCTCACATATCTTTTTTTGTTAATTTACTAGCAAGATATAGCTCTTCTCCTACACGGGGATATTGGAACGAGATTAAGCATATTTTGCGATATTTAAAGGAAACTCTTGACATGAGTTTGTTTTATGCTAACAAAGATAGTGTAAATATTGTTGGTTATGCAGATGCATGTTATTTATCTGATTCTCATAAATCTCGATCTCAAACCGGGTACGTGTTTATATGTGGAGTTAATGTCATATCATTGTGCCCCACAAAGCAATCTATTGTTACCACCTCTTCAAATCATGCTGAGATAATAGCTATTCATGAAGCAAGTAGGGAATGCATATGGTTGAGATTAGTGATTCATTTTATTCAAGAAAAATGTGATTTGGAATGTGATAAAAGATCCACAATTTTATACGAAGACAATACTGCATGCATAACCCAATTAAAGGGAGAATTTATAAAAGGAGATAGAACGAAGCACATTTGACCAAAATTATTCTACCTACATGATCTTCAGAAAAATAGTGACATCGATGTGCAACAAATCCGTTCAAATGATAATCCAGCAGATTTGTTCACTAAATCTTTGCCAACTTCAACTTTTGAGAAGATGGTATACAAAATTGAAATGTGAAGACTCAAATATTTGAAATAAGGTTTTCATTAGGGGGAGTGAAATACACGTTGTACTCTTTTTTCCTTACTAAAATTTTTCCCATGAAGTTTTTCTTGTAAGGTTTTTAATGAGGTACCTAGAAATGCGTATTACGAAATATGTGTACTCTTTTTCCTTCACTAGGATTTTCCTACTAGGTTTTTCCTAGTAAGGTTTTAACGAGACAATATCTTTTAATGAACATCCAAGGGGGAGTGTTATGAAAATAATTATATTGTGGATGTCCATTTATTACTCCGTTATAGATAATCTTCTTGAAGTAGATTATCCATTTGGTACTCCATTGAAGTTTATCTACAGGCAGGTTGCAAGCAACTCAATGAGATGATTTGCAACAACTTCTTATTAAACAGGTAGGTTGCAAGCAGCTCATGTAGCCTGCAGACAGTTTACAAGCAGCTCAAGAAAAACCTCGCAGATGCTTCCTTTCTTCTATAAATAGAGGAGTTTTCAGTTCATTATATACGTCAGTTTGAAGTTGAATAATATATCAATCTCTGTATACTTGTCTTCAGTTTATTTACTTTATAATCTTTATTTTATAACAGAAGTTACTAAACTCAACTTTAAAGAAGACACCTCAAATTAGTTTTCCCTTTTTCTTAAAAGAATATTATTGTTAATATATTATTATTAAATAACTTAAATACTATATTATACTACTTACTTATTAAGGTAGGGCACTCGTCATTCCGAACTAACTCAGGGGCTGCATTTGCAGTATGAGGAAATATTTGCAACTTGTTACCTATTTGCATATCACGAATGGATATAAACACATACGGGGAGTCAGTGACACGTCACTCGGGAGGAACTTCGAAAGCGAGAGAGATTATTATATCCAACCATAGAATGCCACGTTGCAAAGGGGACCATAACTTCCGTGGACGGCAAGAATAGGCGGTGTTGTAGCTACGGAATCCCAATTTATCGGACTCGGACCCCTTCTCTCTCTCTCCAGAGCATTTTGGGAAATAGTTTTACAGTTATTTCGATTGATTACTTTTTTCCAGGAGTTATATCGATTGAATCGGTATCAATTATTTGTTGTAATTACCGAATCTAATCCAAATATAATCGCAACCGATGCAACGGCTCGTTGACCATACCCTCGCTGTCACCAAAGAGTAAGTTTTCATTTCTCCTTCTTTATGTGTATAAATACACAGGCACCTGATACAGCTACATTGATGTACATCTACATGGATGCCCGTATGCGTATTCAGGCATATTCTCGTTCCAATTGGAATGAAATGGATGTTTGGGAGATATATGTGGTTGATCCCAACTGATATTGGATTAAGACGAATTTAATTGATTGATTGTTCTACAGTGAAGTGGTGGTGTGTCGATTCTTCGCAATTAGTTTTAAAAAGAATGTGAATATTGTTTTGGAGCTTAAGAAAATAAAAAATACAGCGATATATTGAGTTGTAGTATACCTTTGGTTTGAGATTTTGTGGTAGTATAAGGTTAAGATAAATGTGCAATTGAAAAATGAATGTTACTTTCACTTCTATTTTATTTTGGTATGATAGATGATATGAGTTGAGCGTAAAAAAAGAAATGAGGATTCATATAGCCGACCCCAACTTGTTTGGGATTGAGGCATAGCAGTAGTTGTTGTTGCGGTATAACATTGGGGCGGATTTGGGAGCACAATGTTGCAGATTGGAGACTATCCTTTATGTCTATATATCACGTTGATCTCAAGCTATTCCCAGAAACTCTGAATCTCGAAGAAGTGAACTTGACGTGGCTTGTATTTCTTTCAATACTATTAGCGCATATGAAAGTACTAGAATTAATCGAGAGAAAAAGGGAGAGCTAGGCGAGATATGATTCTTACCTCTACTCAAGAAGATCGTATTGGTGTATTCAAAGCAGATATCTGTATATCTCCTAAGTTGACACTTAAAAAATGTTTCTAACAACATTCTAGGACTTGTATTTATGATCTGGAACTCTGTGATTGGTTATTTTCTTGCTCCCTTAGCTGGAAGGAGAAAAAAGTTTCCTCTATATTTATTATTTGCCTGGAACTGCTTCGGCAATTAAGTGGCTTCTTCTAGAAGAGATCCAGGGGGAGGATGTCTATTTTAATGAACAACCCTCTAGCTGCTTGTATTTTGCTCTTGATGCCATTCAAGTAGCAGACTAATGGCAATATTGTAGCAAGAAGCGGGATCATGGAAGTCAAACCAATACAACAGTTGTTTCGTGGATAGATTCAGCTATGATCCCCCCTATCCTTCCAGTGGAATAAATGGGAAATTATTGCAAAATTCGTTTTTCATTGGTGATGATAGCCTTAAGGGCATTGGTTGAGTGCACTGCAACATAATAAGCTCAATATCTATAGATACTCTAATGCACTACCATTGCTTTACAAGTGAGAACAATTACTTTTGGCAGATAGATTTGAATGACCTCAGAAGTCATTAATCATAAAAGTAGCTCATATTCAGCAGTATTATTTCATTCATATATTGTAATTTTTATTCAGCTTGAAATCCTTAGGGTTACTCTCACTCTGTTTTCTTCAGCAAATTTGGTAATTGATGCAGTATTTAATGTTTCTGTTTTTTGTCAACATTTCTTCAGGTCAGTTAAGACAGTGACTTATGAGTCACTGAATAATGTTGTGAGATTGATTAATGGAGTGTCAGCATTATTATTGACGATATTGCCGGGGAAATCTACCATTCTTGAAGGCATACATGGTTGGGAGCTTCGTCCAACATTTCGTGGACCTCGGCTTCCACAGTGGATGGAGAAGTGAGTTTTTATCTTCTTTCCAATTTTACCCCTGTTTTGGCTTTTGAACTTAGCACTTTTTGAATAATGCGGCTGTATTAACATCTACCTTTTTGGTGATCACAGTGGTGCCTCTTCTTTTAACCAGTTCATTCATGAACTTTCTATTGATTCTGATACCTCCTCGAGTGTAGATTATTCATCATCATCAGAAGATGAATATACTGATAGTAACATTTGTCCTCCATCTCCACTGTCACAAAGTTCTCGGGTATCTAGAGCTCGCAGTCTTTCAAGGCGGAGCAGGCACTGGATGCATTGGGTCAGATACATCATTTCATGGCTCCTATTCCCAATTAAATTTATGTTGGGCATACCTTTGTATCTCTATGCTTTGGGTACGGGCAGCAGAGTCTCTCGGACATCTGAGAGTTTCCAGTCTTCCCATGTACAAGCNTTGGGGGGGGGGGGGGGGAGTAGGTTTGACAGCTCATTGGTTATCCACGTGATTCCTCATGTTATCATTGTCTGGCCAATATTTGAACGTGCCAATTTACCTTACACTTCTGCTATTCTCTGTAAGGAGAGGTGATTAGGTGAACCAAATTCACAGAAAGGGTAGCAAATTGAAAGATAGAAGGAAAAAGGAACAAAGAATACGAAGACTTATTAACTGTCCTCTCCAACCTACTCCCCGAAGCGTGCAAAAATATTCCAATATTCACAAGATGTAAGTGTGCTTAGCTGCTACCTTCACTTTCTTTCATCTACGATTTCCTAGACAAATTCTGAAGAGAGACTGTGAGGGAGGGAGATAATTCACCTCCCTTTTTTGGTATGCCTCGGATCCAACGCGACATATCTTTTTTTTCCTGAAAAAAAATATTATCACAAAAGTAAAAGGAAAAAATACACGGAGGAAGAAATGTGATGGGCCGCAAAGAACATATCTAGATTGAAAATGGAAAGAGACAAAAATATGCTCTTGGTCCTTGATGGTAGGGGGGAGAGATAGAGAAGTTTATCCATGATAAGTCGGGTTGCGATTGCGGTGGTGGTCGAAAAAGGCTCCTCTATTTAGGTAGAAGATCGAGAATGAGGTTAAAGAAAGAAGCCATGAAAGTGGGTGAAGAAAGGGTTGGTGATGAGCTTCGGTCTTGATCATATTGTGTTTGGGGATTTGTATGGTGAATCTTTCGGTTTTAAGCAATCTACAAGAGGAAATCGGTGAGATGTTTGGTTTCTGGGTGAAAGACTGATGCTATACAAGAAGGGAAAGAAAACTGTTGCAACTTTCAACCTTAAGTAATACAGGTTGTAAAAGAATCATGCTATTGTTGTGGTTGTTTCGTTGGACTATGGCTTGGCAAGCATTGCTTATAATTCAATAAATGGAAGACTGCAGGTGTGGGCTACATTAAAAGCAATTTGAAGTTTCAAAATTTAGAAAATATAAGGTGAAAACAGAGTGAAACAAGAAGTATTTCGACTATAATTAGCTTTAACTTCTCCTATTTACCATTTTGATGTCACGGAAAATTGGACCTTAAAAGGTGGGCCTTGGAGTGACAGAGAAGTGCTATGTGTTTCTACGGGCAACTAGGGTTTGAAACTTGCAGCCTCTCCATTAAGGAGGGAAGGCTGCCTACACTCGTCTTCTCCCGAACCTACTTTAGCGGGAGCCTTCTGACACTGGGGTCAACCTTAAAAAAGTTGAATTTGAGTAATTCGTTGGTTTTTATGTCAACCAGAAGAAACCAAACAGCTGAACTAACTCCAGAATTGGTTTTCTCACTAACAAATTAATACTCTCTGTTTATTCTTTTATTCAACACCCGTTCCTGTTTCTTCTTCGCTCGTCCTACCTGCCAAAACAATACCAAAAGTGAAGAATAATAGAAGGAGTTCGGGAGGAGAAAAGTGAAAATAAAAAATTGTCTTCTTAGAAACTACCTTGTCCTGTCCAGTAGATGCTATTTGTTTTTGTTTTCTACCCGATTATACTTCTTATGAATATGACTTGGTCTAATTTTGTTATATGTAGGATCTCCATTTAGCAATTGAGATCACCATTGAGGCTGTTTTTGAATTTGTTGACAAGGCAGCACACTGTCTTCTCTCACCAATAGGCACCTTGAAGAAAGTGGTGAAGTGGTTTTATTCTTATAACAGCGGTCACGAGGATGTTCCCTTTGTTGGTTCAGGTGTCTCTGTTCCTGTGGATACCCTCGCGGAGAGTGATCCTACTCCTAGAGAACGGAAGACAGGCTTTAATTCCCTCAATACAGATGCTCGGACATGTCAAGATGTCATTACAGAGCTTGGGTGAGGGTTTTTGCTTGCATTTCACCTCTTCTAAGATCTGGCCTACACAGTTTTATCTTTTCCCTAAAACAAATCTTGCCGACACAGTTCAAGGGATCGGACATGTCCAATTCTTCTTAAAATATTTCTTAAGTTTGTCGTATTAATAAGAGGATATATTTGTAAAGTTTGGATCTAAAATATTTCACCAAAATCGCTAAAGGTCTGTAAAGTGCTGGGATAAGAGTTGCATCTTCTCTGTACTTCTATAGTGTTAGTGTCTGCTGTAACTAATCCAGTGAGCGTAGAGAATGCTTATTCTCTTGAAATACTAACTTTTAAGTTATAATGACCTCTAAATTGATTGGACATACTGCTTTTTGGACAAGAATTATATTACAAAATTTTTTGAGATTACAACTGTAAACAGGAAAATGAAAATCATTGACTTCCCAGTTTTATTTTGGACCAGCCAGTGTTGTTTGGGTAGATATTGTCCTCTAGACTGTTGAAGCATGTTCTAAACCCTTCGTATTCATAACTAAGCAGTGCTTTGCTTTTCAAATAAAATTGGCATCCCAGTTATTCTCAGCATGCTACTCTTTCCTTTGTAGATACCCATATGAAGCTCTTCGTGTGGTTACTGATGATGGATATATTCTCCTTTTGGAGAGAATTCCAAGGTTTGCATTTCTGTTTGATCATCATCACTACTTTATATCAGAGCTTTAAGGTGGATGCCCATTTATAGATATTGCTTGATGTTTCAAACTTAATTTTGCAGACGTGATGCTCGGAAGGTTGTTTATCTACAACATGGGGTTTTTGATTCATCCATGGGGTGAGCCTAACTTCTCTTCTAACTCTTCAAAATCATTTTCCCTTTCTTATTTGTCATATTCAACTTGTTGCATACTTGGGATAACATTGATGTCTCATCATAAATTGCAAATTTGTCCTTTGAGATCCGCTAGGCTTATAAGTAACTACTGCGTGACATTTTGGGTGAAATGGCAGTCGATCAGATCAGATAGAAGGACTTGGGAAGTACCAAATTATTGGTTCTACGCCAGTTGACTGTCTAAGCAACACTTGAACAACTATGGATTTTTTTCTTTTTTCCCCTTCACAGGTTTCTAAGTAGATCAAACTATGATATGCGTATGTGCTAATTAGCTCACTAGGGAGTTGGGATAAAGGGCTAGGATTATGGAATGTTGAGCAGGGAGTTCAGTATTTTGCTTTTCTAATCTTACATATTCATAATGTCAAAATATCAGAGTGATCCTGAAAGCAGGATTAGGATAATTTGCTACTGTAGCTGAACTACCTTCTGGGCGAAGCCAAGTATTTTCAAGTAACTCTTTTGCCTGGAGAGGGTCTATTTTCTATATGGGCTTTGATGAAGGTGTAGAACTGGTATAGGCTATCAATTTATATCGTCCGAGGATGAGATCGACTATATCTGGCACTTTGATCTTGTGGATTGTGTGCATTATATCTCGTCCCCCGCCAAATCATACAAATTGAGGAGGCATCTATTTGTCGATATCATTTGATCTATGTTGCATTGAGACGTAGTAGTCCTTCAATTTTTAGTTCTTATTTTTTCCTTCCTTTCTTAATACTGTGAAGATCAGTCCTAACTTTCAATTGCATCCTTAAGATTTAAGGCGATTATCAGTTCTAACTGTCAATTGCATCGTTGTTCATTCTATTTAATCTCTCACTTGGTGATTTGACTTATAGTTGGGTATCGAACGGAGTTGTTGGTTCCCCAGCATTTGCAGCCTATGATCAAGGTTGTCCTTTGTGCTTTTGTGTCAACTAATTTATTGGGTGTGCATATACTATAAACTCTCCTGAGATAATCATGTAGTATTCAAGCTTGTCTTTCTTGATTACAGGGTATGATGTTTTCCTAGGAAATTTCCGTGGATTGGTCTCAAGAGAGCATGTTGACAAGAACATATCCTCACGCCAGTAAGTGTATTACTTCATGCAGCTCCCATCATGTCTAAAATGTCGTTAGACTTCTTTTTGAAGAGAAAAAAAGTTTCTTCATATTTTGTGTGTTTGGTGATTGTTGAATTGCTATCAAGTTACTTTAGTTCCTAAATGTGGATGTTCATGCAGGTACTGGAAGTACTCCATAAATGAGCATGGGACACATGATATACCTGCAATGATAGAGAAGATCCACAAAACAAAAGTTACTGAATTGAAAAATAGCCAAAAAGCTGTGGAGGAAGAGAGCGACAATGATCAGCCTTACAAACTTTGTGCAATTTGCCATAGTTTGGGAGGAGCTGCTATTCTAATGTACGTCCTAACGCGTCAAATTGAGGAAAAGCCCCATAGACTTTCAAGATTAATCTTACTATCACCTGCTGGCTTTCATCATGATTCCAATCCTGTATTCACAATGATGGAATACTTATTCCTACTATTGTCTCCTCTACTTGCCCCCTTTGTGTCAGCTTTCTATATACCCACTCGTTTTTTCCGCATGCTGCTTAACAAGTTGGCCCGAGATTTCCACAACTTACCAGCAGTTGGAGGCCTTGTGCAAACTCTCATAAGCTATGGGGTTGGTGGAGACAGTTCAAATTGGGTTGGAGTCTTAGGGTTGCCACACTACAATATGAATGATATGCCAGCTGTTTCATTCCGTGTGGCTCTTCATTTGGCACAGATCAAGCACACTCGGAAGTTTATAATGTTTGACTATGGGAGTGCAGCTGCAAACATGGAAGCTTATGGTTCCCCTAAGCCTTTAGATTTGGGGGAGTACTATTCCTTTATTGATATTCCTGTTGATCTTGTTGCTGGGCGGAAGGACAAGGTCATCAGGCCATCCATGGTAAGGAAACATTATAAGCTGATGAAGGATGCAGGTGTGGAGGTGTCATATAATGAGTTTGAGTATGCTCATTTGGATTTTACATTTTCTCATCATGAAGAACTATTGGCCTATGTTATGTCTCGATTATTGTTAGTAGGTGCTTCTATGAAGCAGCAACTTGGGCAAAGATTGTTAAAGCTGAGGAGAAAAGAGGGGGAAGCCAGCAGCAATTAAAGTGTACACACTGCTAGAGCCTGACACCTTTGATGTTTTGGATGCTCCAAGTTATTTGGTGTTCCATGTAATACATGTATGTTACATATACAGAAAATATAGAGAATACGGGGTCATGAAAGTGTACCAGTGAGAACGTTGGCTCCTTTGTACATTCCCGCATATTTTTCCAAGGGGATAGAATTGTGTTGGATGGTGTAGTGTAAGAGATTTAGGTGTGGTTTTGTGAATATTGCTGTATGTATGTTGTAAGATTGTGACATGTTGAAGCTTCAATGAAACAGTCGTTTACCTCTTTTTCCCTCTTTCTTCACCCCTTCCCAGATAATTCGTTCAGTATTCTCCTTCGAAGTGCCTGATGTTGGTACTTTTAGACTCAGATTACTAGCCTGTTTGGCCAAGTTTTATTATGAGAAGTATTTTTTCTCAAAAGTACTTAATTTAAAAAGCACTTTCCAGCAATATTTAGTGTTTGACAAAACCTTTTAAAAGTACTTCTAAATATATTTTTCAAAAAAATTCTTTTAAAAAAAATGCTTTTATGGAGAAACTATTTTTTCTATCAGGGTTTGGCCTTTGACACTTTTTATTAGCCAGATAAATGAGACTAGTTCTATCTATACTTACATCTCTGTTTACATAAACTTTATAAAATGACAACTACACGAGAAAGCACCTAAAGCATAATAGATGAGACGCGCAATCAAGAAGTAATCCGCTTCTAAAGAAATAAATACATGACATATTGATTCATAAGATTTATTTTTTTTATGTTTTTTGGTTAATGGAAGTTTGAATGTTGGGAAAAGATACTTTGATCTAACTCTTCTTTTAACCGTTTTTTTTGGGGTAAGGCGTAGCATATTATATAGTATTTGCTTTGGTCCCTTTAATTTATTTTTTGGTTGTTCACACATATTAAGGAATTCATCTTCTAGCATATAAAATTGATCATATTAACCTTACTTTGATCATTATTAAAAATATAATAAATACTCCAAGATTCTTTACTCTAAGGGTAACTTTTAAAAAAAAATTAAATATTATGAATCACAAAAAAAAAGTCAAAAATTAAATTAAAGTGGACCAGAGAGAGTATTAAATAGTATCATACCATAGAGATTCTATGATATATAATACCCAATTTATTGCCTCCAAAACATTTAAGAGAAACATAGAAGGGAACTACAAAATATAATATGTGAACAATAGTCTTTTGTATCTTTCGGGCCTTCCCTCAACCCCGCACATAACGGAAGCTTAATGTATAAGATTACTTTTTTTAGTTTTCTGCCTCTTGCTACCATATATGACTAATTGATCTGCCAGTTCGCTTTGGTCCCTATAGGACGGAACTCAAATGTTCCAAAGAAAAACTTGGCAAATACCCATGCGCACGAAACAAATTACGGATTTTTTTCCTTTCTATACAATATTTAAAACTTATTTACTAACATTATCTATAATTAGTATATTACCCGCCCTAAACAAGTTTTTCTCATAATTTATATACAATTCATTATTAGTGCCTTAAATTAGGGGATTTAGTTACACCATTTTTCTTTTTTTTTTTGCTCTCCTCCCCTCAATTTCCCTATTCTCTTCTACCTCTCTCCACCCAAAATTCCATATTCTTGATTGATCTCGCTAAATCGTTGAAAAGGAAAAGCAACAGTATGCGTCGTAGGCAAATACTTTCCTCTTTATTTCTTTCTTATTAGTTAACTAGTGCCTACAAACACACGAAATCACTGCTGTCAAGATTCTATCTTTGTCCCTCATCATTCAATAAATCTTTTTTTTTTTTGTTTCTTACATATGTTCAGATAATCACAAAAGTTACAATTCTTCTAAGAATGGGAAGGACCCAACAATAGCTATGTACCCAACCTGAATTATAGTGGTGAATATCGCAAACATGACATATATATCAATGATCTCGAGATTAGTTGGAGTTGAAGCGTAAGTAGAAAAGAGAGATGATAAATTTGTATGGTACAACGGCATAAAAATTAAAAATTAAATTTCGTATAAATTTGATATATCTACAACATCATATAAACTAAAAATAAATGTTATACAACTAATTATATATTTCTTATAACTTATTTACAACTTTCATATATACTAAAAATAAATTTCATACAACTAATTATACAGTATACACTTATTTACAACTAATCTACAACTTTCATAGATTATTTTTATTTGTTAAAATACATCAACAACATCATACAACTTAAATACAATTTTCATACAGATTTTATACAATATATCTCTTGTAAAATAAATTTTATACAACTAATTATACAATATACAACTTATTTATAACTTATCTACAACTTTCATACATACTAAATATAAATTTCATACAACTAATTATACAGTATACACTTATTTACAACTAATTTACAACTTTCATACTTTATTTTTACTTGTTAAAATACATCTACAACATCATACAACTTAAATATAATTTTCATACAAATTTTATACAATATGTCTTTTGTATATTTTGTATCTGATTTGTATATATTTTGTATGTAGTGTATGCATCTTCCTCTCTAAAATTCCAATCAAAACTTTCTCTCTTAATACAATTTTGATACATATCAACAACTTTATGTAAAAAAGATAGTATTGCTCACTTAAATATAAATTTTATACAACGATTCATATATTATACAACTGTTTTTCAACTTTCATAGAACATTCAAATAAATATATATATATATATATATATATATATATATATATAACTACAACATAATACAATTTACATACAATTATACTACAACTTTACTACAATTTCGTAAGTATATTGTATGTCATGTGTTCTTCTTCTTCTTCTTCTTCGAGTTTCAATCTGAAATTCCGCCAAAATCAAGTCTAATCTTCACCAAAACACCCTCAAAATTAAGATATAAAATCCAAAAAATATTTTCAATTGTTTGCAACAACACCCAATCCAAACAAATAATGGTTTTTGAAAACCCAAATTCGAATTCAAATCAGTTTTTTAATGATTGTCAATGGTGGAGAGTCAAACACCTTCAAAAATTATTGATTGACAATTTCAGTTTGAACACCAATTGTGCAATATGAAAAAAATTGCTAAGTTAAAACTCTATAATAAAACGATTAAAATCCATTGATGGATTCTATTAAAAATATATACAACATAAAAGGATAAAAAATAGAGAACAAAGAATGATAGATTAAGAGACGGAGAGAGACGGAGAGAGACGGAGAGAAAGAGTGAGCGCAGGAGAGAGAGAGAGAGCGAAGGAGGGAAAGAGAATAAGGATGAGAAATAATTGATTCCTTATTCAATTCCTCATATAAAGGGATATTCATTTAATTCCTAAAATGTATATAATTGGTAAATTGTGCATGCCTATGCAATTAAACTGAAACTTAAGTAGGGAGGATAATAAAGTTTCAAATAGTGTATATGAAAGTAAAAATACCAAAAAATTACCCGCCCCTACCCATTACCTTCCCCCCTATCCATTATTTTTAATATCCAGCCAAATGAAGCCAATTCAAACTACTATAAATCAAGTCAATTCAAGACAAGCCAATTCAAGCCAAAACAAATTAAGTCAAGCCAAGCCAAGTCAAGCTAAAATGGGTAAAAAAAAAAAAAAAGTTGGCATGAGTGGGTAGGTAGGGATAATTAGTTTTAAGGGAAAAAGACCAAATATACCCCATCTACTTTCATATATTGTTTATGTTTAACCTCTGTTATACTATCGGACCAAATTTACCCCTACTATTATACTATCAAGCAAAATTTACCCCTACAATCAATAAACTTTTAAAAATACCCTTTGATATGTTAAGTAATCCAAAATTTTCCAAATTCCATTTATTTAAATCACTTGCTGTTCTTCTTGGTCCACTATTTTTTAAATAATTGACATTTGCCTGCTCTCTGAATTAGAGGAAAAAAAATAAGAGAAAAAAATATTAAATAATACAATCGAATAAACAAAGTACAGTAAATTAAAAAATCTAAATTATGTAGTTTTACTAAATTCTAAAAGTATTTACAACATCCCAATTTTAATGAATTCGTTGCACCAAATGTATGGAAACTTTGCAAGTATTAGTGATTGAAGTTGAAGTTTCTCGGAGACTTCACATTGTCTAATTTAATTTTGCTTTAATTAAATGCATACACATTGTGCACTCTTAAGTTATTTGATCGAACTCTATATTAACTAGGCAATGATAAAATATATTTGAATATACATGTACATACATAATGATCAGCTGCATATAATACATAATAAATAGACCCACTAAATTCTACGGCGTGTATATAATTAAAAGTAAATAAAATTATAAACCAATTTTATTTATTACAAGAAGAGAAATTGGTGCATTGGTAATTAAAAAAAATTATGAATAATTTGTATAGTCTAGTAATTTTATCATTCACATCAATAGTAATTTTTGAAAATAATGGAGCAAGAAGAACAACAAGTGATTTAATAAAAAGAATTCGAGAGATTTTAGATTACTTAACAGATCAAGGAGTATTTTTAAAAGTTTGCTGATTGTAGGGGTAAATTTGGCCCGATAGTATAATAGTATGAGTAAATTTGGTCTGATAGTATAACAGAAGTAAAATGTAGATAATATATGAAAGTAAAGGGGTATATTTGGCCATTTTCTCTAGTTTTAATTGGGTAGGTATATATTGTAATTAGTTTTCAAATGGATAGAAATGATAATTAATTTAATTCAACGGGTGTTTTACGTAAGTTGCTCTATAAAGCTTCCTACGTCGTTTGAGAATTGAGCCAAAAAAATGGGCTGATAACCAAATCTATATGTCCTTTTCTTGAAACAAAACAAACAGAAAAACCCTAGAAAATAACACTCCTATTTATTGCGGAAAGGGGGAAAATATTAAAAAAATAAATAAAAAGGTAAACCATCGGTCCATCGAACAATTCATCAACCTCAGCTAATAAAACCCTCTCGTCTTCCGCCCACAGACGGATTAGCAGTTCCATTGTCAGAGGTAGGAGAAAATCTTGCTTTTGTGTTTCAGAAATATTTCCACTTCTAAGTTCTAACCATTCCAAATCTTTTTTCTTTATTGGAGGTAAAGTTGCAAGTATCCCAAATTGTACCAACGTCTTTGGTCTAATTACGACAAATACTTTCCCGTCGTCGCTGCTACCGGTACAGGTTCGTAAATTATTGACCTATTATGGTCCTATTTACTGATCGTTAGAAGAAACAGTTGGTATATTTTCCCCTGCTGCAACTACATTGCACTTATTTTGACTAACTTGATAGGTGCTCCATTGGCCCATTCTACTAGATTGGTAAAAGCTAAAAACTGAGAATGTTCTATGGAGCTGCATTTTGTGGATGTTCTATTTTCAGCTATATTTTTTAATGCATCACAGTTAATAGTATTTATATTTTTTAACAATCTCAGAGTTAGGATTCGCGGAACAAAGGGAAGAGTCAATGACGACGCCGATGAGATCGCCGAGATGGGGTTATGTTCGAATAATAACTGGAACCATTCTTGGAGGCATACTTGGATTCTATGCTATGCATCGTGCTGAACTCAAGTACAAGGTTTTCTGTTCTTCTTCGTTTTATATGTTCAATACTTCAATTATTTTGAAGCATAAGCACAATTATCTGTCTAAATCACTGTAATTTATGATTGTAGGAAATGTGGAATGAGAGATTGAAGAAATATGAAGAGGAGCTCAAAATGAAGCAAAGTACGGAGACGCATGCCCCAACTGAGTTGTCAGGAGACCCTCTTCCGAGATAGGTACTATTTAAATACCTACCTCCTAATCTTTTCATTTTCTGTTGCTTATAGCTTAGATAAAGTTAGGAAATTTCAAGCTTCTGGAGCTTACGAAATCTTTAGTACAAGGACTTTAGGATACACTGCTTGGACGGTCATACTTCTGAAGTTAGGGTTTGATCAGCAGAAAGTTTGACGATTGTGAACTACTCCGACCCTGGTAAAAGAACCAACAGGATGAGTAAGTGCAGGCTCATGTTAATCTCAGTAAACGGATTCTCTTTTGTGTTAGGTTTTTGTGGCCAGCATAGTCTTTTGGTTCAAGATCCAGGAAAGAAAAGCTTTTCGGCCTCACATTTACTCGGCCTCAACTAGGTGGTATCCACTAGTTGAGAATAGGTTTTAGACTTGGTAGAGAACTATCAATATTATTATCACTATTATATATATATATATATATATAT